GAAAGACCCAGACACATTTAGAACTCAAACTCTTCAAGAGTCTCAAAAATCAGGGACATCAAAGCATACAGGTTCCATTGCCCATGCTGATGGATACCAAGAGAGGGCTGAGGAATATGTCCTTGGGCAGCTGTGGGAAAGTGACTTACGTATTAGTCCCTAGATTGTCTCTGTTTTTGCCAGTGATACTATTAGCATTCCAAGTAGGACTTTTTTAAAATTGTGGACTAATATGGTACATGAGGAAGTTTGGGTCAGGAAATTGTTGACAGTGTTAAAGAGCAGTGTGATTATGTTGTGCTGTATTTCTGCATGTTAGATTCCACTCTAATCAGAGATGGTAAAGAGCCCTGACTTCTCTGTTACCAGAATAATTTTATTTTATGAGGTAGAGTCTGGTTGTATCACCCATGCTAGAGCATGATCCTGGCTTGCTGAAGTCTCAGTTTCCTAGGCTCAAGGATCCTCCCACCTCAGCCTCTTGAGTAGCTCAAGAGGCTTGACCTCAACTACATGCCACCACATCCAGCCAATTTTTAAAATTTTTTGTAGAGACAGAATCTCACTATGTTGTCAAGGCCATTGTTGAACTCCCGGGCTCAAGCAATCCTCCTGTCTTGGCTTCCCTAAGTGCTGGGATTAAAGGCATGAACCACCGTGCCCAGCTCCAGAACACTAATTTTTGACAAATGGTTTCATGAGGAGATTTTATTGGAAGGAGCAAATCCATTTTGCATTATTACCAGAGTCCAGAGTTCCATGCTATTAAAAGAAAAAAAAAAGCAACCACTATTTCAGTGGAATCTTGGATTATGTTATTATCTTTCTGAGCATCACCATGAATTCTGCTACTTGAATCAAGACCATGATTCTTTCTATATAGTACCCATGTGTCAATTACTTCAGTTACAATTCGGCTTTCCTCAAAATCAACTTGTTTACTCTGCAGATTAAAACATTTTAAATTTCTCCATTAGATTCCATGTCTATAGCCTTAGCAGAAACAATGACAACCAAGAAGCAATGACGTTCCCTGAGATTTTTGCCTAATTGAGCAAATGCAGAACAATACCACCCACAGGCAAAGTTGAGCTAAGCTTTTAAATTAAGGTTTGGGTTTTCAGAGGCTGGGGATGGAACCACCGTGAGACCCCTCTTCTCCTTCCTCCCTTCCCCAATTGTCAAAACAAGTACTACCATGAAAGATGCTTCCAACAGGAGATAAGTTCTCAATAAAATATCACCAAGCAAATGAAGATTAACACCATGAAAAACAGACTCAACAAATACAAGAGTTGTTTTATCTACTGTAAGAAATACAAATTTAGCACAACATGGAAAGAATTTAAAAGACTCAAACAAAAAAAAAGAAGAAAATAGCAATTGTGAAACAAGAACAAATAGTTGTGAAAACTTGCCAAATGAAAATTTTGAAAAGAAAATTGTAGTTTCTCAAAGAAAAAAAAAATGCAGTACTTTATACGAGTCTCAGGGTGGGGCCTACCGTATATCTCCAATGGCAAGAATAAAGAAACACATCTAAAAGAGAGTAAAGAAGTTTACAGATAAAAGAATGAGAAGTAGACTGACATTATACTTTTCATCAACAGTATTAAATACCGAAAGAACAGAAGGAAAATCAGCTTAAAATTTTAAATCTATGATCAAGCAAACTATTGATTAACCACATGCATGTTTGACATTAAAATAATTAGGAGTAACAGATTTCTGGCTTTAAAAAAATCTAACGATTACTTTAAGAAGCAAAAGACATTCTCAGAATAAAGTAGAGGAATACATAGAAAAGCTGGTTGGTTTTTTTTTTTGTTGTTGTTGTTGTTTTAAAAAGGAAGTCCTCATTTGTAAAGAAGTAGAATTTATTCACTAAAGATTTATGAAAAGTATGGTGGTATAGTGAGTGACCCCACTAGTTTTAATGATTGATATTTGAATACAGCTTGGTCTTATAACAACCTCACATAAAAATTTAAAATTCATTTGTATCCCTTGAATTTTCAGTGTTCAAAACTAGGTTGTGAATGTCAAGGAAATATTTATTTCTGAACTAATGTATTTGTAGAGAGAAAAAGGAATTGTGCACAAAATCAATAATTATGTTTTAAAAATAAATGAATATTGGCTATTAAAAATTGTTTTAAGCCTTTGGGATCTTGTAAATTTTATTTAATCTTGACATCATTAAGACTAATCTAAGTTCAATAGTGGTACCAATTAGAGGCCAGAGAATTTAAATACCAATTTCAGGAAGTTAATTTGACATACAAAAAACTCAGATATTTAATTTATTCTTTGTCCCCGAAATCAAAGATATTAATATGAACTGCCTCTGTACTTTCCACATTTGAATACTTCCCTGGCTCTGATACCACTTGGGACTAAGGCAATCAAAGAGAGAGAAATCTTGATCAGAATTCTATGCCTTTTCCTGATATTCATGGAAAATCAGCTAAGTATGCAAAGAAGAAAAATATCTGACCAAAAGAGCCAGATTTGAACATATCTATAAAGTACTTAAAGTGAAAGGAAATATTATATCAATTTTCCTCTGGCTATTAAGAACTCACATTTAGCTGGGCATGGTGATTCATACCTGTAATCCTAGCACTTTGGGAAGTTGAGAAAATTATTAATGTATAAAGTCTGGGAAACATGGAGGAACTCCATTTCTACAAATAAATTAAAAAAAAAAAAAAAGCTGGGTGTGGTGGCACACATCTGTCATCACAGCTGCTTTGGAGGCTGAAGTGGTCAGATCGCTTAAGCCCAAGAGATTGAGATTGCAGTGAGCCATGATTGTGCCACTGCACTCCAGCCTGGGCAACAGAGTGAGGCCCTATCTCAAATATTTTTTAGAAAAGGATTAATGGCCTGGCACGGTGGCTCATGCCTTTAATCCCAGGTCAGGAGTTCAAGACCAGTCTGACCAACATAGTGAAACCCCGTCTCTACTAAAAATACAAAAAATTAGCCAGGCGTGTTGGTATGTGCCTGAAATCCCAACTACTCAGGAGGTTGAGGCAAGAGAATCATGTGATTCTGTTGCAGAACAATACCACCCAAAAGAGCATGAGTCCCAGTTCAATCACAATTTTAGTGTTTGTGCCAAAACTTTTACCTGGTTGTGGCAAAGTTGAGCTAAGCTTTTAAATTAAGGCTTGGGAGGCGAATGTTGCAGTGAGCCAAGATATTGCCATTGCACTCCAGCCTAAGCAACAGTGTAAGACTCCATCTCAAAAAAAAAAAAAAAAAAAAAAAAAAAATTTATGTGTTTGATGATCAGTTACATAAAGTGACACTATTTAAATGTGATAATAACTACACTTTAACAGATGTTTGAAAGCATGTCGATCTTAAACTATTTTGCTTTGGGGGGAATTTAAAAAATCTTTGAGAAATTCTCTTTTCTCTAGTCATGAGTATTTAATTCCTAGAAAGTTCTATGGATGTTCTATGGATGAGGAAATGCTTATAAGAAGATAATTAATTTTTTCCTATTCCATTTCCTTAATTAGGAGCTAAATATTCTGTTGCTTAAAATACTTTTTTTGATTTCACTCAATATAACCACAAGATTTGATGTTTTGGTTGCTTCCAGATTTTATTCTTAGATGTAGCTAATTAAGAGTTTCATAATGACGTTGCCCTCTCCTTTTTAGAACCTTCTATTCTTACATAACTTCTTTTAATTACATCGTGTAGGAGGTAGAATGCTGATATGGATGTACAGTTTCTATCCCAGAAAGATCATATATAATCCTAAATCATGTCAGGTTAAATTCTGAAGGAGGAAACCAAGACAGAAAAAAAAGAAAGAATCTTTCTCCTATATCACCATACAAATGGCAAATAAATACTAATAATAAAGAAGGATTGGATAGGAACTATTACCATGAAGTATTTAGATCTCATATACGCATGTATTTTCTTGAAAATAAAAATTGAGGCCAGGCGCCATGGCTCACACCTGTAATCCCAGCACTTTGGGAGGCCAAGGTGGGCAGATCACAAGGTCAAGAGATGGAGACCATCCTGGCCAACATGGTGAAACCCTGTCTCTACTAAAAATACAAAAATTAGCTGAGTGTGGTGGTGCGTGCCAGGCAGGCTGAGGCAGGAGAACTGGATGAATCCAGGAGACAGAGATTGCAGTGAGCTGAGACAGCACCACTGCACTCCAGCTTGGTGACAGAGCGAAACTCCATCTCAAAAAAAAAAAAAAAAAAAAGGCCCTCAGATTGGTAGCACATCTCAGATTTTATGAAACAAATAATTGTCATCCTACCAGACATCTTAATAAACAATGTTTTTGTGCCGAATGGAAAAGAACAGTCAGTTTTTTAAATGGCATAGGTTTAATTTTTTCCTCAGTCATCATGAACACACTTAAGATAAACCAAAAAGTAATTATCCATACTGGTCTATATCTGTGTCCATATTTTGGCTAATATAAGCACATAAAATATTGAAATATTAATCGCAAATGTCAACACAGAAAATGAACTAAATTACTTTCATTTGAGTACTATGTTCCTAAAAAGATTATTACTATATCTTAAATAAAACACATTCTCGTCTATTCTCAAAACTTCGTTAACCATAGACAAAACTGCTTTGGACATATTATATACAACACATAATACTAATATATTCACAAGTGAAATTATAAAATTGGTGGTTTGGAACTCTACATTATTTTATAATATAAAATTTGAAATGAATTACTTTTAAAAGCTATTTGAAGTCACCATTAAAAGAAAATTAATTTCTTTTTGCTCCCCATTAGAAAAAAAGAAGGAGACTGCATTGGCAAGCTAGGACGAAAGGAGAGAATATGCATGGATTAACTACAGAGAAAGCAGAATCAATATATAAACAAAATGTTCTATCGACTAAGGATTCGTGATTGAAATACAAAACATTCAGAGCCAAACAACTACTTTTTCAGTCCTTCTGTTAATGAAACCTAAGCCATTCCTGGATTTGGAATTTTGCTCTACTCCAGTGACTCGCCTTGAACCAGATCAAAAGAGACCTCAACAATGGGCAAAAAGTAAAAAGGGACTTTCCACAGAAAAACTGAGATGAGGCTTAATAGAACCTTATTAACACTTAACTGAATTCAAAGCTGTTCCTGAAACTGGGGTTTGCCTCGCTAACCCTCTCTGCACCCTGAGCAAGGAAGTTGGGGATAATCGGCTTCAGGAACTTGAACTCCTTTGTCCCAGAACCTCCTGACAGACACACCTCGTACTGGTAGCTCTGGGACAGGGTCCCGGTGCCGCTCACGTCCACCAGATGCCCCGGAAAGGGACCCTCGGGCACCGAGCAGCGACCCACCGACGCCGCCCGGCTCCTCCTGCACAGCCGCACCGCCACGAACAGGAGCACCGAGAACAGGAAGAGCGACGACACCGAGGCCAACGCCACCACCAGGTAGACGGTGAGCGAGTCGGCCTGGGCCTGGGCCGGGGCCGCCTCCGGGAGCGGCAGGTAGGGCTGGGAGAAGCCGTCCACCAGGAGCACGTGCAGCGTGGCGGTGGCCGAGCGCGGGGGCTCGCCATTGTCCTTGACCAGCACCACCAGCCTGTGCTTGGCCGCGTCGCGCTCGCTCAGCAGCCTGGCGGTGCGCACCTCGCCATTGTGCGCCCACACGCCGAACAGCCCGGGCTCCGTGGCCTTGAGCAGCTGGAACGACAGCCAGGCGTTCTGGCCCGAGTCGCCGTCCACCGCCACCACCTTGCTCACCAGGTAGCCCGGCTCGGCCGCCCGGGGCACCAGCTCGGTGCAGGGCGCGGAGCCGTTCTGCAGCGGGTACAGCACGAAGGGCGAGTTGTCGTTGGCGTCCAGCACCAGCACGCGCACCAGCGCCTCGCTGCTCAGCGCCGGGGAGCCGCGGTCTGTGGCGCCCACGCGGAACTCGAACGCCTGCAGGGCCTCGTAGTCCAGCGCCCGGAGGGCGAACAGGTGTCCGTTGTCCGCGTTGATGGAGACCAGGGAGGCGAGGGGCAGGTGCGGGTCCTGGGGCGGCAGCAGCGAGTAGGTGACCTGGGCGTTGCTGCCGGAGTCTCTGTCTGTGGCGCTGACGCTGGCGATGTGCAGGGCGGGGCTGTTGTTCTCGCGGACGAACAGGGTGTAGGAGGTTTGAGTGAAGGCGGGGGCGTTGTCATTGACGTCGGAGACCAGCACGGTTATGTTGTGTTCGGTTTTCAGCCTGGGTGTCCCCAAGTCTGTGACAGTGATGGTGACGTTATATTCGGATCTGGTCTCCCGATCCAGGGCTGTGCTTAACACCAGAGTGTAAAAGTTCTCCACAGAAGGTTTCAAGAAGAAAGGAAGGTCATCCTGGATGGAGCACACCATTCTTCCGTTATCTCCGGAATCTTGATCTGAAACGCTGAATACAGCAATGATGGTGTCCTGCAAGTTTTCTGGGATCTGATTGGTAAGTGTGGACATGGTCAGTTCCGGAGGATTGTCATTCAAATCCATCACTTGGACAAATACCACACAAGTTCCAGATAGGCCCCCACCATCTGTCGCCTGAATATTTACTGTATACGTCTGGATGGATTCGAAATCCAGTTTCTGTCTTAAAAGGAGTTCTCCCGATTTTGCACTTAATCGAAATGTTTTGCGAATGTCTTCAGAGGCTTGGGAAAATGCATAAGATATTTCTCCGTTAGTTCCAATGTCTAAATCCCTGGCAGAGACGATGGCAACCTGGGATCCAACGGGGCTGTCCTCCGGAACCTGCACCTCATAGAGCGGCTTTGCAAACTCTGGGACGTTGTCATTTATGTCCACAACTTCAATGCGTACCAGGGCCGTGCCGGACTTGGGTGGAGTCCCGCCATCCAACGCTGTGAGGGTTAACCTGATCTCAGGCTGCTCCTCGCGATCCAGGGCTCTATCCAGCACCAGCTGTGGTAATATTATCCCATCGGGATTGTCTTGTAAATTAAGGTGGAAGTGGAAATTGGGACTGATTGTGTAATTTTGGAGACTGTTGGTTCCTACATCCAAGTCCTGGGCGCGTTCTAATAAAAAAGTAGTTCCAGGAGTGATACTCTCCGAAATTTTCAAAAGTATTTCTTTGTCCAGGAAAACTGGGGGATGATCATTTATGTCCCTAATTCGTAGCTCCGCCTGAAAAAACTGCAAGGGATTTTCTAGTAACACCTGGAAAGGTAGGACACACGGCTCTGTGGGGCCGCACAGCTCCTCCCGGTCCAATTTCTCATTTAACAATAAATCCCCGGTCTGCCTATCGAACTGCAAATGCATTTTTTTTCCTTTGGAAACGACCCTGGCCCCCCTCACGGCAAGTTCTCTTACCTCCAGCCCCAGGTCTTTTAACAAATTGGCCACCAACGAGCCACTCTCCATTTCCTCAGCCACTGAATAGTGCCTAGGCTGGGAACTGGCCCGAGCTATGCCCAGCAAAACAAAGAATATCAGGACTTGCCTTTGTTTCGGAACGCGCTCCTTCCCCTCTCGGGCCTCCATTGCCTTCTGGTCTCGCACCAAACCTGCTCCAGCTCGGGCTCACGTTGTCGCTGACTCTGTCTCCCCGTATCTCGCTGATACTGGGCTGAATGGACAATCCTAGAGCCCAAATTTCCCGGAGCGATCACCTTAGAAAGCCTCCTCTTCCTGCTCGCTGCTTCCTTAGCTGAGTATCTGGGTAAAGGAGCGTCGGCTGGGTGCTTTGCTGCTTCTACTTCTAAGGCTGCAGCGCCACCCCGCGTCTCTTCCGAGTATTTATTTTCTCATAAACTAAGCAAATCCCAACGCTTTCTTGCAGGCTGATGGCAATCGAAATTGAGTATTTTCAAGCAGCGTCTCTCAATGTACCGAAGTCTTATTGGCGTTTCGAAAGGCTCTTCATTCCACCCATAAAGACAGGGCAAGAATAAATAAATCTTTACACAGATCCAAGCCATTTTTTTTTAAACTGGAGAAAATAAATTTCAGAACCTGGGAGTGATCTTAGTCCTAAGATGCTTCAGAAAGAAGGCTTTGACTAAGAAAGTCCTGTTTTTGTTCAGCTTTTGGGCATGTGTGCAACTCAGTGGTGGTTAGGTTACCAACGTCACATTCACTCAAACCCAACTGAAAAACACAAAAGACCCAGGAAAAGCACAGAATCCAAGTAAGAGTGTTCTAACGGACACTAAAATAGTTTCCTTACTCATATTTCTTTCTTTGCACTGCTTCCACTTCACATTTCCCTGAAATCTGATGTGTCTGAACCTCATGAAACTCTCCAAGAGCAGCCAGACATTTTCTTCTTGTAAATGTATAATATAATTTTCCTTTCTAATGCCTAGGAGAATTTTCAACATAACTTCAATTCAATTACCACATCTAGCGAAGTTAAGAGCAATTTCATAATATTAAATAGCTAGCAAATATTCCATTTTCCCAAATTATCTTTTAAAATATATTTTTAGTGATGGGTTTTTCAATCTGATTCTAAACAAGGTATATATATTGTAGTTTGTTGTTAGGCTTTTAAATTTTCTTTTTGGGTTTTTAAAAAATGTTAACATAAAGAAATAAGTTATCAAGCCACAGAATGACATGAAGGAAACTTAAATGCATGTTTCTCAGTGAAAGAATCCAGTCTAAAAAGGCAATGATATTGCATAATTCCAATTACATGGTACTCTGAAAAAGGCCAAATTATAGAGACATTTAAAAGATCAGTGGTGGCGACAAAGAAGAGGAAGGGGAATAAAGAGGTTAAACACAGGGGACTTTAATTTACGATACTACAACGGTAGATATAGGATATTATGCAGTTGTCAAAATCCACAGAACTATACAACACACAAGAGTGAACACTAAACTATGAAATTTAGTTAATAATTCACCAGTAATGGTTCATCAATTATAAAAAATGTACCACAGTAATGCAAGATTTCGATAACAAGGAAACTTTGAGTAGGAGAAAATGGCCATGCGAGGGGAATGTCTAAACTATTTGCTCAATTTTCTATAAAACCTAGGGATGCCTTAAAAAATAATTTTAAATATTTGGATGTGTCTCTAAAAGAACCATTGGGTTAAAAAATATTGGGATAAAGAAAAAATTTAAATACATAGAAAAGTTAAAAGAAGTATACATAAACTACAACTCTATCCTCCATCCAAACTTAACAATTGTTTATATTTTACCATATTTTTTCTTTCTTCTTTTATATACACACATCCTCTTTTCTGCTAACTCATATGAAAGTAACTTGCAGATATATTTCACCTCTAAATATTTCAGCAGGTATCACATAATTATAATATTATCTCATACAATCATAATGCTACTATCATACCTAAGAAAATTAACAATAATTGTACAATGTTACCTAAAATCCAGTCCCTATCAAATTTCACTAATTGTCTTTCTATTATCTTTTCCTCAGTTTCGGTAAGAATTCTCATTCACTCCAGTTCTTTTGAAAAATGCCCTTACTTTAACCATTTGTTATAAGGAATGTCTTAGAAACTTTGTTTTTCAACCAACTTTGATCATTGTATTTGGGTTTTAGCTCTATTTACTCTAGAATAGTCCCCCATCTTTAATGACACTGAATTTCTAAAGTGTCCAGACTAGTTGTTTTGTAGGATGTCCTACATTCTGAATTTGATTGTTTCCTCATGGTATCATTTAACCTGTTCTTCTGTCCCCTGTATTTTCAGAAAACCGTACTGGATGACTTATTAAATGTAACGATAGTATAATATTTTAAAAAGCTATCATTTATCCTCTGTAATTGGCTAAAAAAAAGGATAATCACAGGTTCTCTTTCTTGAACATTTAGAAAACAAATGCCTGTCTCTACCTGTTGATATTATTTCTTGCTTTTCATGATTATTACTTTTATATGGATGTTATAATAACTCAAAATATTTTAATTCATTGATATTGAGCATTATTCACCAAGGTGAATAATTCCCAAGGCCCAAGTCTTTAAAAACAGCTTTTTATATAAGCTGCAAAACCTAATTAGGATCAGAAATAGATGTAGTGAAAATCAGTTTTATCATAGAGGCAGATTATAACTGGTAGATTACTTGAAATTTTACATTTAACTAGATATATGGTTATTTCCTTTAGACAGGTTTTCTGAACTAAACCAGTTATAGTTAATTTGGGATAACATAAAGGGGAGGAAAATAGGTAATATGAAGAAAATAACATAATCTTGCTCCCCTCACAAGCTGGAGAATAGAAAACTTAATACCTAAGATATTTCAAAGGATACAATAATCAATAACACATTAGGTTTTATTGTGTAAAAACATTTAAAACCTCCCATGTTGTCATATGTGTCCTCACAATTCAGAAGGTTTTACCCCTCACAATTCAGAAGAGAGGGATCTTCAGCCCTTCAATGAACTTCTTCCCACAAGCTGGCTTTACTTAGCTATAAGATGGCAGAAGAAAGAAGGGCTTTCAGTGATCTACTACTAATACTCTGCAGAAAATCTGAGAGAAATACTCTAGGATGAGAAGGGAGTGTTCTGTCATAGTTTATTACCCTAATCTAGGGTGAAAATTGGGGGCATGCTCAACTAATTCACTTTTGCCTTATTGAGGATACAAATAAGTTTTCCCATCATCTATCAAGACATACATTTCATAAAGCTCAAACAAACAGGATTTCAAAATAAAGGTTGGCTAGATGTGGTGGCTCACACCTGTAATCCCAGCCCTTCAGGAGTCTGAGATGGGTGGATAGCTTGAGCCAGGAGTTGGAGACCAGCCTGGGCAAATGGTTAAAGCAATGTGGCAAAACCCCGTGTCTACTACACACCAAAAAAAAAAAAAAAATCAGCCAGGTGTGGTGGCTCATGCCCACAGTCCCAGCTACTCAGGAGACTGAGGTAGGAGCAGCACTTGAGCCCTGGAGGTACAGGTTGAAGTGAGCCAAGATCCAAGGTCATTCCACTGCACTCCTAGGTGATAGAGTGACACCCTGTCTCAAAACAACAAACAAACAAGCAAACAAGCAAACTAAACATGAAATAAATGTCATTCAAGAAGGAGAAATGGTGCTGTTTATTCTCTTCCCACAGTACAAATAAGCAAGTAAAGATTTTTAAAGTGATACCTACACAAGAATCTTGCCCATTTTTGTTTAAGGAGAACCATCATAGTCTGTTAGGACAATCTGTCCCCTTGAAAATAAAAATAATGACCAGGACTGCAGATAGAGCTAGAAAAACAGATATAAACAGAAATAAAGATGAGAGAGAGGTATGACTTCTTCCAAAAATTTCAGACATCTTTTTATGATTAAAATAGGCTAAAACTTACATCAGGTTTAGGCAATCTGGTAGATGATTGAATTTTCACCAAGATCACTATTGAAATTTTACTTTAAAAGAAAATATAGCTAAATACAATATCAAAAATTAGTAACTAATGAAGAAATCCAAAGATGTAGAGTGGCATAGAATATGAGGTGAGGGAAAGAAACCTGAAACTCTGACTACAAAATAGAAAGCATAAGTAATCAATTTAAATATGCTAAAGAAATATAAGGAAAAAATGCTTGGAAATTATAATTAATATATATTTTCATATTCCCAATATTCTTGGGGTCTGTCAAGATGTAGCCAGTAGAAACCACTGACCAGCAGCAGTTGTTGTCTGAATCTGGAGTACATAGGTGATATCTCAGTGTCCTTGACCATAACCTGAAATCTATGTTTGGCTAGATTAGTATCACTCACAAACCTGGTGATGCACACTTCCCAGTCTTGGGCTAACATGCTATATAGATGGAGACTCAAGTCTTTGAGTAACTGAAAGGACATGAAGACTTTCCAGACCTAGTCTCCTTCTACTGCCACCACCTTGAACATCACATAATCCATTCTGCGTTAAATACAACACAAAGGAGAATTGCCATTGCCATCAAATATTGCCACCAACACCAACACCATGCTGCCTGGCTCAGTGTAGTAGTATCTGTTTCCCTCATATAGAACTTGACTCTTAAAGGCCTTACAGTTCAAAGCAAACAGATTCTTTGTGTCCATTTTCATGGAGTACTGCATATACTGAGACACCAGAAGCAAATAGGTTATTTGGGTGTTTTTCTAAGTCTCTGCCTATGGCATTGTGTTGCTAAAATGCAAAAGATGACTTTAAAATAAATAGCTTGATCTTTTTTGAGAAGTTATGAAGATTATCATTTTATGGATAGAAGTGGGATGAGTTTCCTCCTCAAGCCATAAAATATCTGCTAGGACAGTCTACTCAAAGTTTTAGGGATAATTTACCTTTGAGAAAGATCAAAGAAAATTAGGCATAAGCAGAAAAAAATGCATTCCTTTTCTGTGCTTAACAATAAAGAGAAAATACACTACTAGCTACTAAATAGACCTTTGTGAAATAGATAAAAAGATAAAAATAGCTAAGCCATCAATACCTGTTAACTATTAATGAACAATTAGCCACGGTTCAAGAAAAAAACACGATGGAAATTAGAGCCATAAAATAACAAAAACATTCAGAAAGGTGCTGTTTTCTCTACCTTTTATCCAGAATCCAAAAGGAAGAATGCCAAGGATAACAGCTGTCTCTATCCATTGTCTTGTTTTGAGCTTCCTGGAACCTAGTTTCATTGGAAACAAGTGATGTTGT